ACAGCTGTCATGTGATAACCTGACTTCCCCCCACCCACCACCACTACCACCATCACCGCTCCCCTCAAAGGCTTCAGTCCGTGCCGTGCTGACAGACGGTAGACCGAGGGCGAGGAGGGAAGGGACGGACCGCCATTCCTGTCGATGCCTTGACAAGTCCGGGGCAATCACATCCAGGGTTAGATTAATATAAATGAGCAGGGCCACGTTAGCATTACTCAACTTGGGGGGTGGGGCGGGGGAGGGGGGCAGTAAGAGGCTGTAGGGCCCTCTGAAGATAATTAAAGAGCACAGAGCTCCGGCCTCCAGAGAGGAAACGCAGACATGTTCAATAACCAGACTGTTAGAGTTAATTTCCAGTACATTATTCATGCAAAACACAAACCCCGGTGTGCCCCCCTCCCCCCTCCCACCTATCCCTCTCTCACACACACACACACCCAGGCGCGCAGCTGAGTGAAAGTCGGCCGCAAGTTTGTGGTAAAAACAAACAGGTATTTGTCGCGTCCGTGCATGTGAGCGGCTAACACTCCTCGACATAACCTTTTCTAGACACACCAGTGATGCATTGTGGGTTGCATGTTGCTTTTTTAAGCTGTCACCTGGTTGAAGCCCCCCTACCATAAGCGAACAGCCCCTGTAGCCCAGCTAGTGACCTCAACGTTTTCTTTAAAAAATTCCTGCTCATCTTCTTGTCTTATTCTCCTAATAATTGAAAAAGAATGAGGCCACAAGGGGGCGAAAGGGGGGCGGGGGGTAGATAGGCACACCTGCCTACAAGTTTTGCACGCTAATTTGTTTAAGAGGTAGCCCCAAAGCAATTAGGATAAAACTAGGTTCGGGATTAATGCTTGCGTGTCGTCGTTAAAACTTTGCGACTGTTAGCACCTGATGATGCTAACAGTTGGAAGCTTTAACCTAGCATTAACAAATCAAACTCTGAAGGTGGAATCTGTGCTGCTGCTGCAGACTGCACAGACTGAGACCCAGAGGACAGTCATTATGAGCCTACAACCATGTCATGCCTTATTCCCACTCCGAAACACAGTGGAGAGCGTTAAGCCCCGCCCCTACGCTGACTAACCTGCGCTCCAACGTTAATGAGTAAGAAAAACCCCTTCCCAGGTGGGAAATCAGTCCCCGTCTTAATTACAGATGCTCGGGGGGGTGTGGAGGGAGGCGGGGGGAGGGGGTGTCAGTCTTTGTCAGTGACGATAAATACAAGACCAGATCAATCGAACTCCTCTCGTTGGGAAATGGTCCTTCCTCGCCGCCTCGTTGACCCTGCTGCCAGTTTAGATGTTGGGCCGTGATCGATGCACTTGTGTCTTCAGGAACCCGTCGACATCGCTGATAAAAAAAAAAAAAAGAACTAATCAACGACGGCTCCTGGCGCGTGGGAGGAGAGCGGGTGAGGCTGAAGGCGGGAGGTGGGAGTCAAACCTGATTACGTCGACATGCCAGGTTTCCTCCACCTCTCGTTCTACGTGGAGATTGCACAGCTGCGCCCTCCCTCCCTCCCCTCCTCCTTACACGCCTTTCTCCCACACTCTGTCACCGTTGACCTCGGTGCCCTGCTAATGGCCCTTGGCCAATCAGCGTGCGTGCCCCGGTGGTGGCAGGGTAATTAAAAAGAAATCGTATCTACTTGGCGTGTGAGCTGGTGGGCCACGGGAGGGTGGGGGGGTAGACAAACACTCTCTTTTCCTCCCTCTCTCTCTCCCAGCCAGGTGGTGGCATGCAGGTCCTGTCAGATTAGCTGATGACCCTTTTAATTCTAGCCTAGCCAGGGGCCATAATTGATATTTACCAGGAAAGGTTAATTGTAGCAGTGATCTGCTCCAAATCGCAGCGGAGATCAGGAGACCGGTGGGGCCGGCCACCGGGGGAGCCGCCACACGCAAGCTGCTAGTCAAATGGATTACACCCTGCAGCCATCGCCACCGTGATTGGCCGGTGCCGCCGCTGCCGCCGCAGCAGCAGCTCGGAGTCCTCCTTGATGAGCTGCCCAAAACCTCCCATCTGGCTGGGAATTAGTCTGCAGACCAACTGTGGGTCTTGATGCCCTGCAATAAAACCAGCATCCGTGCATTTTAGGCTGGTGAAAAGTTCACATCAGGTTAGAAGTAGTGGAATTCTCCAGGTTCCCATGGAAAATACAGGAGACATTTTTTTTTACTGTTTATGATAATGGTCGTGTGGTCATTGGTGTGGAACCCCAGGGTTCACCTTCTGGGTTAGATTGAATCCCGGTCAGGGTGGTTGGTACCTTCCAGTGGACTCACCACCTGCAGGAAGGTTCAGGGGGGTTGGTACGGGGCAGTGTGGTTTGGGTGGTGACTGCTGCCCCTAACGGATAAGCAGATGAAAATGGATGGATGGATGGATGGATGGTAGTTTGTTCATCCTCCTACATCGCAGGACTGTTTGTTGTCTGTTTCACCTGATTTTTTTTTTCCCCAACTTCTCATCTAAACTCCTGATTCTTCGCTGAAATTGAACTCTTTCTTGGAACTTTGTGGGAGTTTTAAAGGGAGAACACACAGTGTTTTTTTGGGTTATAGTCCAAGTGTGATCCTAGTCTCAGACTCTGTTCCATCTGAACATCGGATTACGAACATCAGAACAGAGGGATCTACATTTGGAATCACTAGAGAAGAAAGAAAAGAAAAAGAAAATGAACCAACACCAGGAATATTGGACTGGGAATTGGTGAGAAAAAAATCAATAACTGATCAATGAGGAGATTGATATGGGATCGTGACCCAAAAAAACCCAAAAACGCCCTATTTCAAAGTAACATTCTATGCATTTTACTTTTTTGTGAGGAGTTGCTGTGGCAGTAGATCTGTATCTGAGGCCTCCTCGTGTCCTCCACAGATCAAACCTCTGGCTCAAAGACTGACCCAGGTCATCAAGGAAGAGACGGACCAGGACCAGGGTCACCCAGACGGGAGCGACTGCAGGGATCGGTTCAGTGAGGTAGGGATCAGACCACAAACTCTCACCACCAGTGGGTGACATCATCACGGGGGGTGGGGTGGGGTAGGTCAGAGGGCAGCTAATGCTACCGCCAGTGTCTCATCCAGCATTTCACATGTGGACTTGGACGTTCTCTAGTCTGGACCGGGGTCTTGGTTCAGCTGTTAGAACGTACCTGCAGATCCACGACAACGGATGAAAATTTTAAAATATAAAGACCAGAGAGAGAAGAAGAATTAAATCAAGTCAGTGAGTGGAGGAGGAGGGAAAAAAAAGAGAGAAGGTTTTAATGAACTTGTTAAGAACATTGTTTTAATCTTTGGAGAATGAAGCCTGACGGGCAAATAGGAAAAAGGTAAAGGAAAAAAAAAATTACCCAGACAGATTATTTTTAACTTGATCCTCCTCTTTCTAAGCCTCTCTGCCCTGTTTCTGCCAACCAAGATCCCCCCCCCCCCCCCCCCCTGGTGAAAAAAAAAACGATGTCTATTAATGAAAAATTCAGGGGGAAAAATCCAGGCAGAGCTGTCAGATAAAAGAGCAGCGCTGGGTGTCGGCGCTGACAAGGACGTACGACGAGCACCGGGGGAGGATGGAGGTGGTGAAGGTGCTTGATGAAGTGATGAAGTGATGGTGGAGGTGGGGGACCGGGCAGGGAGAAGAGAAAAAAGAGGGAGAGAAAATTCTGTTGAAAAGACTGTAAAAAAAAAAAAAAAAGCGTTAGAAGCGACACGTCTGTGTGATCGGACGCCAAATAAACGTTGAGCGGAACAGAACCTTCTGATCAGCCATAGCTGCTGTCTCTCTCTCTCTCTCTCTCTTTCCGTTCTGGACCAGAACATTTTCACAAATTGATTAAAAAAAAACCACTTGCCCAATAGAATGTACCTCGTTAGCAGTGTGTGCGAGACCCATGCTCGTACGCGACCTTTTATTTTGAAAGTCAGTCTTAGCCAAGGCTGGACTAGGCTAGACTAGGCTAGGCAGAACATTTTCACAAATTGATAAAAAAAAAAAAAACACTTGGCCAATAGAATGTACCTCGTTAGCAGTGTGTGCGCAACCCATGCTAGTACGCGGCCTTTTATTTTGAAAGTCAGTCCTAGCCAAGGCTAGGCTAGGGAGAAAATTTTCACAAATTGATAAAAAAAAACATTTGGCCAATATAATGAACCTCATTAGCAGCGTGTGCGCGACCCATGCTAGTACGCGGCCTTTTATTTTGAAAGTCAGTCCTAGCCAAGGCTAGGCTAGGCAGAACATTTTCACAAATTGCTAAAAAAAAACATTTGGCCAATTGAATGTACCTCATTACCAGTGTGTGCGCTACTCATGCTAGTACGCTGCCTTTTATTTTGAAAGTCAGTCTTAGCCAAGCCTAGGCTAGGCTAGGCTAGACAGAACATTTTCACAAATTGATAAAAAAAAAAACACTTGCCCAATAGAATGTACCTTGTTAGCAGTGTGTGCGCGACCCATGCTAGCATGCGGCCTTTTATTTTAAAAGTCAGTTTTAGCCAAGGCTAGGCTAACCCCCTGCTTTCTCTGTCAGTCTGTCTTTTTCTCTGCTCATCGCCAATCGGTCTGAATCTTGTCAGTGTCATTACTGCCACCTAGCGGCCACTTTTATCCACCCCGCGAGCTTTTTCGTTACGCAGAGGGATCAACATCGGAGGAAAAAGAGGAAATATCGCAATATTTCAGTGAATCGATTTTTTTAAATTTTTTTGTATACACCTGCCTCAGTGCCTGTGATTCTTAAATCCCTCTGATGTCGTGAGCGCGGCAGAAATCCTCGGAGGGTCAGCGTTAATGGCTTTTAAAGAGAGTGTTGAGCCGAGGGCCGACCCCGTGGCTCATGAACCGCCGCTGCTTTAATAGATCCTTCCTTCAGATGTTTTTCTGCCTCCACCAGCGCAGGAATCCAGTGTATTTTTTTTTCCCTCATTAGCATTTTAATAAGACTTTTTTTTTTTTTTTTGAGCTCAGAACCTGTTAAGTCTCACAAACAAACACTGTGGTTTGTTGATATCACGTATGTTTTAGCCTCCCCCTCCTCCACCCTGGGAATAGACTTCTGATTCCCACAGAGCAGTATTTCCAGTTCTCGGTACGACTCCTCGCCGATTCACTCCACAGACAGTGATGAGGCCGGAGACCTGCTGTGGGTGGAGGAGGACGGGGGGAGAGGACGGGGGGAGAGGAGGTCATCAGGAGGGTGTGAAATGAGAGGAGGTGTTTGGATTGAAGGTTAAATTGGTTGAGTAGAAAAGTCTCCTGAGGAGAGAGAGAGAGAGAGAGAGAGAGAGGACAGAGATTGGACGTCTGGACAGAGATTGGACGTCTGGACACAGGTTGGACGTCTGGACAGAGATTGGACGTCGGGACAGAGATTGGACGTCGGGACAGAGATTGGACATCAGGACAGAGATTGGACGTCAGGACAGAGATTGAACGTCTGGACAGAGATTGAACGTCTGGACCGAGATTGGACATCTGGACAGAGATTGGACGTCCTCACAGTCGGCTTCACCGTAGTTTTTATTTATTTTGAATTTTATTGGTCCGTTTGTTCATTGATTTACATATTCATCCATTTGTCCTTCTCGGGTTGGCAGGGGCGGGGTCATGTGTAACAAAAAACATTTGCCATTCTCTGAAACTGACTCTCTATGTTCACTTTAGTAAAAAACTAGGGAAAAAAAAGGAGAGTAAATGAAGACACCTGCCTAAAACTCTTGCTTTCATGACTCTTTTTTTTTAATCCGTTATTGACCTTTGACCTTTGACCAGCGAGGTGGAGGTGCTTCCATCGTGTCTGTGTCAGAGAGTGAGGCCTTGGTAAAGGTTGTCCTCTCCACCCCTCTCCCCCCTCTCCATCCGCCACTGCTCAGTCAGTGACACTTTAATGCGTCATAGATTCACTGCGGCGCAGCAGTCGCGGGCCAGCGCCGCATATTCAATTATGTTTAATAGTTTAATGGAGAAATCATCAAGGATTAGGATCGTTAACTCTGGACGACCGGAGTGATTACAGCGCCCCCACTCTGGCACGGTAAGCTTCATGCACCTGCGGTTGCTCAGCTCCACTCCACCGTCCACCACCGCAGGTTGGTGTCAGGACGATGCATTGGTGATAAACGATAACATTGTCAATGTTATTTTGAGACCGCAATTATTGTTATTAATTACCTAATTAAAAATGTAATGAATCAAAAAAAGATGAATTAATGTTTCGCCAACTTTACATCTGATTAAAGAAAAAATTCATTTTATGCTCACGGTGCCAGCACTGTTGAGTCTGAAGGCCTTATGGCAGATTTCTGGCACCCCGGCAACAGATGACGGCTGAAATATGATTGGATAAATTTTTTTATAAATTATAATATTTTAGGTGGTGCTTTGGCCCAGAGGCAATGTCTCTGTCATTGGTGTGGAACCCCAGGGTTCACCTCCTGGGCAAGTTCGAATCCCGGTTAGGGCGGTTGGTACCTTCCAGTGGACTCACCACCCGCAGGAAGGTTTGGTACGGTGCAATGTGATTTGGGTGGCGACTGCTGCCCCCGCGACCCGGTAACGGATAAGCGGATGAAAATGGATGGATGGATGGATGGATATAATATTTTATAAATATTTATGATACATTTTTTGAAAAATAAAGTCACGGATTCTGGTACCGTTTGGACCAGCAGGGAAGGTCGTACCGACCTTGACGGACTGATCCGTCACCGGTTTGTTCGACCTGTCGAGAGTCACACGACGGTTGAAGTTACAGCTAAGAAACAACACGACCATAAATGGTCAGAGCAATCGAATCACTGATTGGATGATAACAGTTGTCAGTTTGAGTCTGGAGGAGATGAAGCCGCTGGTTGACCGACGCCAATCTGACACGTTGGTCCAGTACCGGCACCTGCCTCTGGGTTCCTGTCGCATTTTTACGTTCTCCATACGTGTTAGCGCCCGGGGTTTCACCGTGTGGCAGTTGCGCAGGAGTGCAGGGTCAGACAGCTGGGGGGGAGGGGATTAGTTCAGGAAACCAAAAGCCCAGTAGGAGATGACTTGAGTCAGGGGTGTGGGGGGTAGGGGGCGCTGACATTGTTTTGGCCCTGCAACGGGGTTCAGCCAGTCGGGGGGGGGTGCCTCTCTTAGAGGGCTGCCCAGACCCAGACCAGAAAAACCAATTTGTTTATCCCTGTGTGCAGTCCAGCCTCAGATCCAGCCGTTGGCGCTCTCCGCACGCGGGGAACCTGAATTGTTGCCGCTGGCAACACATAAAAATTGCTGTAAACCACAGCAGGGCCCAGAACACATCAATCAGAGAGTCAGCAGATAAAGGCCGCGGTGCTTCAGGGCCCTGGACGAACGGATGCTGTGACTGTGGCTGATGTTAACGACCGACTATCGTTTGGAGTGAACTCCGCGAAACTACGGCCCCGGCGTCTCAGGGTTTGTTCTAATCGAGACGTGGAAGAGGCGCACCAACCAGAGGCGTGAACCCTGGGAGAACGACAGTGTTTCGGGGGGGGGAGGATATATTTAAGGCACTTACACATTCTGTACTACTATATATGTATATATATGCATATGTGTCTGTGTGTGTATAAATACATATACATGCACATATATAATATACATATTAATATATACTATAATATATATAATAATACATATACACATATGTCAATATATGCATACATATATGTCATTATATATTTATGTACATACATATATATGTACAGTAGAATGCCAGCTTTTATTCAGTTGCGGCTCTTAGGTTACATAACAAATATAATTTTGGAGTATATTTAAGTGCCTTACTTATTAGTTTATACAAAATGTATTTTTTTCAATTATATCTGAACTATAACCACAGATTTACTAGAGGAGGCTCACAGAGTCCCATTCTGTACTATACATTTATATATATGTATATGTAATATACATATTAATATATACTGTAATATATAATAATATATATACATATATGTGAATATATG